GAGTTAATTTTTAATTTGTTAACTTTTAATTTTTTTAATTTTTTAAATCATTATGGCTATGTTAAATCATGACAATAATTAATTTTAAATTGTTTATTTGTATTCGAAAAACTTAAAATATTGCTTTTAAAAATAATTTTAAATTTAACATAATTTTTTAGAAAATTATTTTTAAAAAATATAATTTTTTAAAAATATAGTTTTCTAATATTATTAGACAAATAAATAAATTATATTAAATTAGTTTAGAAACTTTATATATTTTAATTGCAAATATTTTACCAATTGCTTCTTTAAAAACATTAGGGAACTTGCTACACTCTACCAATCAAGCCCAGTGACACTCCATTTATTTTCCATCATTCGAACACTGAAAAGTAAAAAGATATATGAAATCAGATCCATTAAATTCTAAGATTTGATTTACATTTCTAATTAAATTTTTTTTTGATCATACGTATAGATAATTATATAAAAATTCCAAAATTCTAAAATTTCAAATACATACAAAAACAATCATATGTAAATTTTAAATTTGTGAATATTAAAATTTTATATTTTAATTATATATATTCACCCTGCGCAAGGCGCATGTCTTATCCTAGTGAAGTATTATATTTGCTATTTTCTTAATCCATGAGTCTATGTGACTATAGAAATTTGGTGATTCATCTTCCAATTTTTATTTCTATATTAATTTAAATTTTCTCAATATACTTGGTAATATTTGCTGTCATAGTTTGATTAATTTGTAACCCAAAATTCGATTAAGAAAAAATAATAGCCAAAAATGAATTATATATTTTTTGCAAATAAAACAAAATATTGCTTAGTTACTGATGGTAAAATCAACGTTTTTCACCTTTGCCACGATAATTTGGTTAAACGACATCGTTCCCGTTTTAGTAAAAAAAAATTGTCCAAATTGTGGTTAAGCCTGTGGGCAAACAGCTAGCAAATATAATTCTTGGTAGTTTTGTACAAAGAATGGGCTTTAGTTATTATTGCAATATTGGGCCCTAGGCCTAGTTCAGTGTGAAATTTTCCATGCTAAATTCAAACCTAGCAAACAAATCATGATGCAAATAGATTTGGGGTTTGATACGTACATTCAACGTTCTGTCTATGTAAACTATTCATCTCCGTGATTTATGTTTTGATTGTGTTATGCGACCAGCCAAATTCAATTAACCCGTCACTTTCATCTCCCCCTTCCTTCACACGTGTTTGATAAATACTTTCCTTCAATCTTTTTAATACGATAACTAATATCTTCTCAATTTACTATACGAAAGCTAAGTTTTTTTAGTAAGTTTAGTAATTATTTACATGTTAATTCAAAGATGTCGACAAAAACTCAAAGAGATCGTCGAGCATTAAACTCAAAAGATCACCAATAGACTTTTAGATGCCTATAACCGAACTTGCATGTACTTGTTTCCTATATACTATATAGGGTCACATAATGCGATGTCTAGAAAAAAATGGGATGTCTAGAACTGTTTGTTTTGGCGGATTTTTTTTTGGGTATTAGGCTAAAAATACTACATATACTTTTGTCACCATACTGTGTACTTCAGAATCAGTACATGTGATTTGTTGACATTGTTAGACATGATCCTATGTTGACCTCCAAAGTAAGACTAAAATAATTTGGTTCGTATGATATATATGATGACCACTCAAAGTGTAAAATTACATTGGCTCAAATTTTTTTTTTTTAATTTTTAGTTATATGATAATGGTTCAATTATCGTCATCATTACGCTGATCTAAGTTAATAATTGATTTTTACTGTAGATATTTTCTTTTAATGATTATAAGCTTGATAGTTTTGCTCTGCAAGTAATTTCTCGATCATTTATTTGTAAATAAAGTAAACCTTGACAACATTTTTAAATGAGTGTGGGTAACCAAACAAACTTAAGCCGTATGGGTAAAGTGAAAATAGGGTTATGGCATTTTGTTTATGGACCCATATATATATTCATTTAAGAACTAAAATTTGATATGTTGATTATTGTTATCTGATCAAACTTTGCATTGATCGAGATCTACACTCAAACCATTGTTATATATCAATTTGTAATATATAATTGCGTGCAAAGTTATCAGGTGAAAACAAAATGAATAGCAATGATTATTTACATGTGCACATCTTTTTAACTTGTGATTTTGTAAACAATTTCTCAGTGAAGGAGAAAAAAATCCGAACAAATATTATCTTAGTTATTATCTTATGATATGACATCTAATTATTATGATACATAACTGACCTAATTCGGACATCGTGTAATAGTCTAATAGATTAACCAGGTCTAGATAACTAACTGAAAAAACCCATATGCCTTCAGTTATTTCCCTAGTCATATTATCTTAAACCATATTATATATTACAGAGAAATCGAAAAAGATCACAACAACCTAAACACATTGCCAGCAGCTGGTTGGGAGGGAGGGGTTAAGACCAAAGATGCATCAAAGCCTTACCATGTATAAACAGTTATCTTTTCATACTAATATTGTACATATATAAAGATTAACAAGAGCAGAATTTGTTATCTTAAATTTCTTAAAAATTTATTCGATATGTTTTACTTTTATGTTTATATACTCATGAATAACTAAGAAAGGTAAAAAATACTTAGGAATATATGAAAGCAAAGTTAAATATATCATCATATGATGTATTGACATATCCTCCTAAAGTGGTTGAAAAACAAAACAACTCATCATCCAAACCAAATAATATCTACCATCAAACCGAATTTGACTAAAGTGTATAATTTAAATATAAGCCAAATCTTAGATACATGTACATAATATATAGAGTAGACAATAGTGGATGGTGGTAGTGGAACCACTTAATGCGATTTCACCTTCCCTGTTTTTCTCCCTTTCACACAAAAATTCAAAAATATAATAATTAAAAAATCATGTCACACCAAATATCTTATTTACCGTAATACCATGTCTCATAAACTCCTTAACTCGAGTATCTATTCTCATCTAAATCACTTCTAACGTATTCTCTCATCCAAAAACATATTCCCAAGAAGTTTTTTCTGGTCAGAAGAAGATGGAGTCCGGTAATAGTAGTAGCATGCAATCTTCAAGCGGCGGAGGAAGAGGAGGAGGAGAAGAAGAGTACGATTCACGCGCCGTCGATCAATCCATCTCAGCCTTCGACCACCACAACCACCACGTGCCATCTCAACAAAACCACCTTAACCTCCTCCACTTCGACCACAACAACGACAACAACTCTCTAATCCCACCAAACTACTTCAACAACAACAACAACATGTTCTTACCCGTAAACCAACAACCCGACCCGGTTTCTCAACCCGACCTCCGTACCTTCTCCGCCACGTCATCATTCCCTCCTCCTAACAACATAGGTGTAACCAAGAAACCAAAGAAAAGATCACGAGCATCAAGAAGAGCACCAACGACGGTTCTAATGACGGAAACTTCGAACTTCCGAGCCATGGTTCAAGAGTTCACCGGAATCCCATCTCCGCCACTATTCAACAACAACTCCGTCGTGAACACCACACGCCTCAACACTTTCCTCGGCTTGTCTTCTTCTTCAACACCAAACTCTTACAACAACAATCTCTTGTTACGACCATTCGCTCAACAACTCCTCCCAACAACGTCTCCTCTCCTATCCGGATCACAGATTCATCAGCAATATCAAAACCCTAACAACAGTTTCGAGAATATTAATCTGCAGTCTCTTCTTCAAGCTCAGATTTCAAACATTACTTCAAACCCTAGAAGCAATGATAACAATCAGTTTGGTCATGGTATGTTGCAGAGTCCATCTACTACTCCTCTGACGACGACGACAGTGGCTAACGGGAACATAGCCGCCGGTGAAAATGGAGGGTACGGTGGTTCGGATCATGATCAAAATAATGACAATACTTGGTTATGTTCATCTTCAGACCAAAGAACATAATAGTATGTATATATATATATTGTTTGAAATCAAAGTTAGTCTGTTGACATGATTATTCAACAAATTAAACATAGCATATATACGATGATGAAGTTACTCGTTTATGATTTCTATTTTTCGTATTATTACACTTTTAGAATTAGTTTCTTTTTTTGTTTGTTTGTGGGTCGGATATATTCTTTTAAAAATAGTCAACATATGCTTATATCTTAGTTTTTACCAGAAGTGCATGTTGGGGAGTATTTGTTTGTAGTTAAATCTCATTCAAATCAAATTTTCTTTGTATATTTTATATAAAACATAGCACCTTAATCATGTATATGTGGTTTTGAATCCGTGCAATTAATATTTATCTTGTTTAATCATGGAGTGAATGGTGGCGAAATTTGTGGAATCTTCGACTGCCGCAGGATTCTGGAACGTAGTGTCGGGACCGTAGTATATATAATTGTAATTATATAGTAGAGTATAGAATTTTATAATGTGGTGATGATTTTAAATTTGATAACTCACTGTTCTCCCATGTGCTTATAGTCTTTCTTTGTGTGCTCTTTCATCATTTACATTAAGAGCCAGTCTCCATTATGATATTTAACTCCGTTAACTATTTGCTTTAATGACTTTTTTTTACCATACCATTACAAAATTTGAAAAATTACAAGAGAAGCATTATGCAAAAGAGAATATATGCAGATTATCAATGTAAAAAAGTTAAAAGTGATTCCACAGAGTTCTTACTTAGCGGCCTCTTTCTTCCATGCCTCTAAATTAAACTTTTTCTCGTTGAACTAATGGTTAGATTATTCAGCTTTATAATTGTCAACTATCTAGTCTATACCAACGCTTCAGAAATGTCAGCTTTTTGATTTTTCAAAATATCATAGCTACTGTATATTGTAGAGAAAAGTATTTCTTTCTTATTGATGGTAATACAATATACAACACTATTTATAGTCCTCCGGATACATTCGATAAGATTGGATGAATACAAAAAAAGATTACCATGATCCTTGCACAAGGATGATACACACAAATTGGGGAATAGTCTAATCTTTTTCTTTTTCAAAAAAAAAAAAAAAACACAAGAAAGGCGACCTTGATGTAAATTAGACTTAACGACTAACTAAATATTTTTCTGTATATCCTATCCTATATGTTTTTAAAAAAATCTTCTTTCATCACCATGAGACTTGATGGTCGTTACAAAAATCATGAGATTTGATGAGTATATCTTTTGCTTGTTCATGTGCACAAAAGTTCAAATGATTTTGATTTTTCTGTCCACGGCCTAGTTGAACTAAGTCACCAATATGCACGACATAGCCTATACACATAACTTACATATAGATGACCACAATATGCTTATATTTGTATCTCTATCTAAAAGGAATATATGACGATGATGGTTATTATTATAGTGGTGGTTATGGTGGACCATGCTATGTAGCTATTGTCGCACTGATGAAATTTCTGCATACTCATATGAACGAATCATGCCAATACTCGATGTCATATATTTCAGTGATAAGCCAGTGGTATGGCCATTATGTTACAATCCATATGATTCGTTTCAGGTTGTCTATATTTTGTGGACCAATTGATTCCAAAAGTTTAAGAGTTGGTGAAGGGAAGTGAAAACATAAACATAATCAAATGGGATGGGAATCTAATTTAACCTCGTTACAAATCTATATCGATAGCAAACTAAGATTAATATATAAGAGACATATACTAAGTTGGTTTTCAAATGGAAGTTTTTGAAACTAAGTGAAAGATTTGATGATAACTACAAATGTATATTAAATTCTTATATTATATATTGTTACAAAACAATTTATAAAATATAAAATATGTACGTTCATTTATTCTTATATAGTTATATGCAATTATAGTTCGACAATATGAAGTGGTATAGAAATTAATACAAACGGTGCAGACTTTAAGCAATCTTACATGTTGAATGAAAATCTTGGTGGCTTATAATTCTTATAGATTGCACATGAGCAGTTTTAAATATCTTCTTTTCAATGGTGCGTTTGGTCTAAAAATAATCATGTCAAAGGATATGAACAAACGCCCAACAATAGAGAAAGATATCGACATTTAATTGGTTTAGAGGTCTAATCACTCAATAATTGTGATCATAGGCAATGATCAATAGTTAGAGTTTGGTTTATGAATCTAATCACTCTTGCGAGTCGAGACACACGAGCTTCAGCACTGGAAAGAAAGAACGTTTTTGGGAATGGGTTTAGCGTTGTTATTGGCTACGATTCTCTCTATGTATGCCAACAGTAGAAAGAAAACTAAACTTGTTTCCACATCACATCAATAATCACCATCTTATGATCACAATGAAGGTAACAAAACTTGAAATCATAATTCATGAGTTTCTCTTATTTAAATTCAAACTTCTGTAACATTCTAAATCAGATAAAGATCTCTGTCTCTCGAAAACCCCTGTGATTTTAAACACCAAACTGGTTACTGAATCCCAAAAGAAACACTGTCTGATTTATCTTGCAGACATAAACACAAGAAGAGAGTTATTGAAACAACCATTGAATCTTCGTTTGAACAAAAAGGGTTGGTACTACTTCCCGCAAAATCAATGAACTGGAGGACTCTTGAGTATCGAATTTAATTTTTTTTTTTTAACTTTGAATGGAAGATCTGAGAGGAATGATCAAGTGAGGCTGGCACAAGTTGCATAAGATCGGATAAGTGTCACAGCTTGTTCTGTAATTGCTCTGTTTCTTGCGAGTCTCACCCATTCACTGACTACTTCCTCTGCTTTACTTCCTTTAACACCTTCTTCAAGTGTAGCTGCTGCCTCTGCTAGTTTGTCCTCAGCCAAGTACTGATCAACTTTCTTAATAACAGATTCAATGCCTCCATTAGCTTGGTCCACTTCCTTGAACTGTAAGCAAAAAAAAAAAAGGAAAAAAAAAAATCCAAGTAAGCAATTAAGTTTCAGAGTTTCTGAGTGCAGAATTTTATTCCGAAAGCAGCATTTCAACATACCTTGAGCCAAGATGCTATCTGTGCTAGTGAATGTGCTAAGATTCCTCCGCCACCAGGTGGAATGAGACTGAAGTGTCTAAGTGTTCCTTTCAAGGTATCAAACTGAAAAATAATTAAGAGAAGTAAGACATAAGTTTACATTATTATTACATCCGTTGAGATCTTTAAAAAATGATAATTAGTTCACCTTCTGGTTTAGCTGCAATGTTGTATCGGTTCCTTTGGCTTTTGCTTCTTCTGGAAGAGATGATAAAACCAAGTCTAAGCCTGAGTCCTCTTGAACGCCTTCAAGGTAAGTCTGAAGCATACTTATATCTTTATGGATTGGTAGTCCTTTCGAGAGTGAATCTTCCAACGCAAGTGCACCCTACAACAACCGTATTTACTTACTAGTCATATATCAACTTACAAGGTGCTATAGAAAAGCAGAGTTACATGACATTAACATGAACCCACGACAAAATTAAACATTCGTGTTTCTTACCACTGCAAGCTTGTGAACTGAGTGACTTTTGCGAGCCTCTTCAGAGCGCGAATAGAATGCCATATGCAATGCCTTTATCTACAAATAAATTGAAGAAATAGAAAAGAGGCATGAGTAAACATTCAGGAATTATACTCAGTTAAAAAAGAGATAGGTAACACCAATTCATATAGGTTGGAACGTTATAATGTGGGTTCAAGTTTATTAGAACAGAGACTTAGCTTCCAACATTTTTTACTAAATTCCCATCATAGCACTTGTATGCATTTCTCATCCTCAACAGAATTCTTGGATAATGTGTTTCAAGAATAATTCCTTCACTTTAATATATTTTCAACGTGTATCAGATTTCCTAAATCTTCTTCCTAGTTATGATTTCGAAACAGTCTGTGAAACATTCTATCATGAGGTTGAAATCATTAGATAGTAGGAAATGAAGTGTAGTGTTTCGTTTTTACTTACGTTAAGATCTGTCTCAGCCATTTTTTCAATTTGTGCTGCCTTTTCTTTTATAATTGCCGCAGTCAACTCAGCTTTTGCCATTTCTTCAGCTTTACTCAACGCCAACTGAGCTTCAGTTTCCTGCAGTAAATACAAATTGTCAGTAATGACTTACCAAATCCCTACACAGTTCTAATCTTAGTCCCCTGCAATGACCAAACCTTTTGTTCAATTTCTGTTTTGAGCTTGTCTTCCATTCTCTCTTGGATTGACTTGATAGCAGCGGCTGCTTTTGTTTTCTCTCTTTTTAGCTCCTGGATAAGCAACAGTGGCACGTAAATTGTAGTTGTGAGTTTTCTTTCTACCCAGGAACATGGGAAACCGATATTAGATGGACGTTTACAAGAAACTAGTGAAAAATTGCATCAGATGTCCATGTCTATACGAGAAGCAAATATAAAATTGAACATCTTCATCTTAGTCTGATGCAGCAATGCGACCGGACATATGTCCTTGAATTGAGTTAATCAAGCAGAAGTAAAGAGAAAGAAGGACCTTATCCAATATTGCAGCCTCCTCTATACGCATTAATTCACGTGCCCTAAGATCTCTTAGCTCATTTTCGTACTTCTCCTGAGGTCAGAGTAGCAGGAGTAAATAAGTTAAAATGTCACAGATAACGCAAGGCCAGTACAGAGATTTAATCATATAATATGATATATTTTGTCTTTCAAGCAACCTTCAAGGTTCGTAATTTTTCAGCAAAAACTTGGGCTTCCAAATGCGACTGTCTTTCTTCAGCTGCATGAATGGCCTCCAAAAAATCAAGTACCAACTTTCCATCTTGAGTCATGTAGCCATCTTTCAGCCCCTCAGTAGAGTTGAGAAGAGCCTAATTCACGAAACAATGCGATTGAGAATATTTTCACACAGATTATCAATCAACACAAAGCACTGAAGAAGCAGAGACAGGAAAGTTAAGTTTCAAACCTCAGTTTCTTCAGTTAGTTGCTCTGCAGCCGATGAGGATCCATTGCTTTCAGTACCATTGCCATCTAGATTGTATTCCTTAAGGAGCGAACCTGGCTTTTCAATTTCACGCTCAATGGCATCCTGTGAGAGAATAATTAATGGTGATAAGTGAGAATTTGATAAAAAATGTAATAAGATAGATAATAAGCCCGTCTTTCAAGAGGCTGAATATTTTCCTTATGGTATGTCAAGGGACCAAAACTATTCTGACCAAGCTTCCCTAATGCCTTAATGTCAAAACTCCCCTTACAGCCACTATACACGACATATAAGAATCTAACCTAATCATGCGTAAAATATGTAGATCCAAATAAATATTCTACTAGACCTTCAAAGAAAATGGTAATCCAATCCAAAAATCTATTCCCTACGCCCCTTATTGTTACGTAATTAGCGACTATTCAGAATTTGATTCACGCCGGTTAACAAAGAGTGGCTACATGAATATTCATTATTATCATTCTAGCATGTAGATCATAAAACATAAAGAAAGCTGTTAACTCTGACGCTGTAGCACAATCCTTTTACATAGAAGTAATAGTATCCACTTCCAGCATCCAAGTATTCTATGCAATGCAAAAAAAAGCAAGGGCAAGAAAAGATATATGAAATGCATGAAACAGTGGAACTCTGAGGCATTCATCTACTGCAATAATATATTGGTTTCAGTACGTGTAGTGCTATTTCAAGTTCAACTAAAGGAAAATTCAGTACCTCGGGTGCCTTCTCAGTGGCAGGATCCTTCGGTGAAGCAGATTCCATTACACTTTCATTAAGAACCAAACTAGGCTGGGCACTAGCAACAGTACTGTCCTCAGGTTTTGGTACAGCTTCCAACCTCACATTTTCTGCCTCAGAATTAATTTCCTGGGACGAGACAGACTCAGTTTTCAAATCTTCGGAAGAAAGAGGCAAGCTTTTCTCTGCTTCATCAACAGCATTTTCTTGAGGCGACTCTTGTTGGTTAGAAGAAACATATGTATAACGGTCAGGTGTTGGATCAGACTCGGGATGCACTTCTACGTCACTCTGCACTCCCACAGAAGCTGGAACCTCAGCTTTACCATCCATTGATGAGCTAATCCCAGCAGAATCTTCAACACCGGGAGATACACTCGAATGATGAACCTCCTCTATTTTTTCAGTAACTCCATCTGACTTAACTGACTCACTTAATTTCTGCGTTTCATTCCCAATGTACTGATCCAAGTATCCATTCTGATACGCTAACAGAAACGCACCAGCGATAGCAGCGCCTCCTATAACCACTTTCGCAGAACCACCTCCTTTAGAGCCCTCTGGTTTCCCCACAGGAGGAGGAGGAGGAGACACATTTGGAGTAACTGGTTTTCCCACAGGATTAGCTCCATTTTTACCAGAAGTAGATACTTTCCTCGACGAACTCAAATGAAATCTCTGAGGCAAGCAAGCAAACATAACACGTACACACAATCAGAAACAAAAGTATACATAAACTAGAATCACCAGTACATGCACACTCACCTGAGCTCCCAAATTCCTCGGGAGCCTCTTTATTGACAGCTCGAGAACAGACCTAATCAAAAGAGAGCAACCAAATCACATTTTCATAAGATTGACAACGAATCAAAGTCACAATAGCTCTCAATCGAATTACAGAGATCCTAAAACCTACGCGAATTTGATTTTGATACAGCAAAGAAGAAGAATCGGACACAATATCTCCATTCAAAATTGATCAAAAGGAATACTCAGATTTTAATAGGGTTGAGGAAAACATACTTGCGCAGCATTGTGGTGTGAAGAACCCAAACGCGGAGACGACTTGGAGAGGAGAGCTTTCCGGTGAGAGTAAATAAATATATTCTCCTCTAGCAACCCCTCCCCGTAATCGTATTGGCGTTAAAACGACGCCGCATGAATCGCGTTTTAGCACCGAAAAACGACGACGTATCAAGCACATGAACATTAAGGGTAGTTTCGACATTTAAGTCGGAAATTAATAGTATTTATTATACAACCCCTTCACTTCTTGTCCTCGACTTTTTTTTCCCCGTTATCAAAAAACAGCCGACGAACAAGAACCCTAGAAATTCATCCCCTGGCCTCATCTCTCTCAAATTTTCCCAAATTTTGTTTTCTTATCCAGAAAGTAATGACGGGATAGAAGATTCCCAATGTACGCTTAATCTTACCCACACTGCTCTCTCTCTCCGTTTCGTATCTTCTAGATTTCGTTTTCTCAGGTTTGTCTTCTTCCTCTGGGTTTTGATTTTTAAACAAGTTGTCTGATTTTAGCTCCAAGAGTGAAAATTTGTAATCTTGCGTTGTGGGTTTTCATCATTGGCTTCTCTAATCGTTGTTCTTTCATCTATTATGAATTTAGGGTTTTGCATATTCTCCGGCGTTCGTTCACGCGTATCAACAAGTCTCAGGCCAACTTCAATGTAAGTATTATCGAAAAGTTTATCTCTTTCCTATTGGGTTTGTTCAACATTGTGGATTTTTGTCTAGTTGCATTGATATTCATCTGATTTGTTTTTATTCTCTAATTTGGAATTTAGAGAGGCGCTTTCATTCCCCTGTGATTGATTTCTATAGTTTCTTGAATTTTATATTGATTTTGTGTTTTTTTACTCAATAGACTGAAGATGTCGTCATCACCTTTTCCAATCTTGGACAACCGCCCAATCGACAAGTGGAAGGTCACTGAGCTGAAGGAAGAGCTCAAGAGACGGAGACTAACCACACAAGGCTTGAAGGTTGATTTGGTTAGGCGTCTTGATGATGCCCTTCGTGCTGAGCAACAAGAGTCTGCTGCTGCTACTGTGGAAGAAGTCATTCAAGAGCCTGCTGAGATTGCTCATGCAACTGGAGGCAACGTTACACCAGATCGTATGCAAGCCACTCCATCTGCAGCAGCTGAGACAACAACTCCTGTGGTTGTTAAGACAACAGCTCCGGTTGAGATAACACCACCACCCCCGGTGGTTTCTAAACCAGAGGTTAACGCTGGTGGCGTTGATGATGTTAGAGAAGTAGCTGGTCTTGATAGTTCAGTGGTTGATGATGTGAAGCTACAAGAACCTGAGGTTGCTGATTTGAAAGATGGAGTGGGATCTGGTGTGGCTGCAACTGATGCAGTAATCGCTGATGAGGCGTCTAAGGCCCAACCTACGGAATCAGAGCTTGAAAAAGCTACTGCGTACAACCAGGTATCGGTTACAGGGTATGAGGTAAAATCTGATTGTATTTCTACTGATTCTGTGCCAAATAATGAAAAAATGGATAACGAAATTGCTGATGATGTCAAATTAGAACAAAATGTTAGTAAGTCCCAAGAGCCATCAACAGTCATTGGTGGTGAATCGCATCCAATGGATGTCGAGAAGCCACCTGAGCAGAAGGTTTCTGTTGGAGGTGGAGATGTCAGCGATGTTGCTGCTAATGCAGCAGATATGACCAAAGGAAATAATAATAATATCGATGCAGGCGACTCAGAAAAGTTGAATTTAGATAGAAGTTCTGGTGATGAGTCTATGGAGGATGAGCCTGAGTCCAAGCAGAATGAATCAGTTACATCTCATGAAGTGGTTGATAAGTCCGAGAAAAATGACGTGCGTGCTGATATTATGGATGCTGGGAAAGTGGAAGCCCCTGAAAACAAAAGCCATCCACTGCCTTCTGACAAAAGAAAGCTTCCTGGTAATGGTAAAGGCTTCTCATATTTCATTGATTTTATTAACCAGTTGCTGTCTGTGTTTAAGCTTCTATGTGGGAACAATATTAGCTAGTGTTTAATAGTTGTTCATCTTTTGTGTGTTATTGCTTCTTCTTGTATCTGGTTGCTTTTGAAGCATCTTGTGAATTTCCAAGCTACTTATGATGAAATCTTTGTGCTTTTACCTCATTGTAGATCAAGAAGCTGTTGGAAACAACGAGCCTGTGAAAAGGCAACGCCGTTGGAACTCTGGGAGTGTTAAAGTTCCTGAAGCACAGGCCGCTAAGAGCGTGACACCTACTACAACACCGAGGTCAACTGGTCTGAAGCGTGACTTCTCCCGTTCTGACTCGTCGGTTAGTGAGGATGGACCTAAGGAACGCGTGGGTAAGTAAACCATCATCCCTATATGTATGTTTGCATCTCTTGTTCGTTTTTTAATATATGTGCACATTATTTGCTGGCAGTTCCTCCATCATCAAAGGAGCCTACGGATTCCCTGAAGATTGATCGTTTCCTTAGGCCATTCACACTGAAAGCTGTTCAAGAGCTTCTGGGTAAAACCGGAAACGTCACTAGTTTCTGGATGGACAGCATTAAGACCCACTGCTATGTATCAGTAAGACCTCTTCTTCATTCTTTTTTGGTCTACAAAAATGTTTCTCCGTAGAAATTGGTGTAATGTTTGATGTGCTGTGGTGTGGTGTGAATGCAGTATTCTTCTGTTGAAGAAGCGGCAGCAACAAGAGAAGCAGTGTATAACCTCCAGTGGCCACCTAACGGAGGCCGCCTTCTGACAGCTGAGTTTGTTGGATCAGAAGAAGTGAAGGCGAAACTGGAACCTCCTCTGCCTCCTCCTCCTACACAGGCTAAGCCTCAGCCACAGGCTCAGGCTCCTTTACGCCCACCAGCGACTACTTTGCCACCACCACCGCCTTTGGCAAAAGCACCACCAGTCATTGAACGTGTGACTCTTCCTCCACCTCCTCCTCTAGTCCCTGAGGAGCCTCCCATAGTCACTCTGGATGATCTTTTCAAGAAGACAAAAGCTATCCCCAGGATATATTACTTGCCCTTGTCAGAGGATCAAGTTGCAGCTAAACTTGCAGCTAATAACAACAAGTGATCTTGTTTTCGTAGCAGGCTCTTAGGAATTTTAGCTCAGTGCGGACAAAAGTTGAGGACTTGGTTTGGTATTATCTAGTGTTAGAACGCAAGAGAAGGCTTATGTTTTCTTACTAGACTTGAGTACTTTTCATTGTGCTGGACCTCTCTGCCCTCCCTTTCCTTCTTTTTTTCTTTATGGAGCTTTGAATTATTGTTGATTTAATAAATAAAGCACTGAAAAGCATACAAAAATCCATTAACATATACATCTTGCATACAACAACCTTTAACACTCGAGAAGAGGACACTAAATTACTTACTCACACATTACATCTTTTCACAGACACATCCCATGCATATACATGTTACATACACATAGAAAGACAAGTTAGACAGGGATATGTCTTAACCAGTCCTCCAAGAATTCTCTTCCTTTAGATTTCACTCATGTGATTTGGTCGTCTCTACTTGTTCATGAGAGCGAGAAGGGTAGATTTTGTTGGACTTCCTTCCTGTGGGCGAAGAGGTTTCAACGACAGCGACACGTTGAGCTTTGTCTTGTCTCTCTTTTTCTCTCTTCATCATCTTCTCTTTGAGCTGCTTCTGCATAAGATGTACGGGTGCGTAACTTGCTCCGATGGATGACATTTTTCTGCTTAGTGTTTGTTGATGAAATATAGAATGTTGTAAGAATGTTATGTAGTTAAGAGTTTCCAAGTGAATGTTGAGTTTGGTTGAAGAGTGCCTATTTATAGAGGTTCATAAGACTTCATTACCCCTTACATATATATATATACAATTAGTTTTCATTAAAACTAAACAACTATAGGAATTGTCATCTAAATTGTGGGTTTCGCTTTAAGGGCGGCTCTTATATTAGTGAGATAAGTTAAAGTTATGGTCCATAATATTCATCTTCACCATACAGAATATATAATGACTAATTTTTGCATACGTCCTAAGTAATCTGAAATCATTTTATCGACCAAAACTATATAAATTTGCATACTGTTAAGATTAATGAGTTTTCATCTTATAACCAACTAATAAGTAATATATATTTTTGTTTTGCTCACAAAATTACATAAAATTCAGTACGCTTACCAAGTATGCATGCCTCTTGACTCCCTAAATAATGATTCAAACCATTGATACATTTTAATTATTTTTTCCTTTTAAGTAAATAGTTTGATTAAGGTAAAATTTAATCTTGAATCCGCCACTAAAAATAACCGGACTTGGTTGTTATTGGTAGAGTGATCTCTAGGAGATGAGTTAGTAAAATTTTAGGATTTCAGATACCTTGGATTATCCAAAAAAACAGCTAACCATATGCTTCCAAGCTATACTGATCTCCAAATATAATATATCAGTTTTAGGAAAAGGCTAACAACATATGAATGGCGTAGCTTTTACTTTATGGGCGGCTCGTAGATTATTAGATGAATGGCACTAGGCAGCCCATAGGCCTATCAATAAAACTGTGGACTGATGATTATTTTATCATCAAATTGACGAAACGGTAGAATAGAAATAACGTTTTCACAAATTGATATGATTGGTGAGAAACTAGGTTCTGTATAAATCCTTGCACATCGGATCTGATGTAGTTCAACCACTCATGTATACTTGCTTTATATGTATTAAGTACGTAGCAATAAATTTGATTAAGACATCAATCTGCAACATGCAAATAAAAACAATATCTGCCTCCTGGAGAACGTAAATATTTCTACATTCAAATAGTAAGGACTTATGAGGTGAGTTAAAAGACGTAGAATGATAACTACTTGTGCAATTAGGTTTCATCTATCTGTAACTATATAGCATGCCCTCATATTCGAATCAGATACTATGTTTTATCATAAACAAAATATGCATATAACTTTACGATTACATATTTTAGAAAATACATATCGTATTAAATGGCGGCTTCGTAATTGACTACATATATCATGTCTTAATCTGATGTAGTTATATATATATATATACATATATATATATATATTCCTTGTTGTGTATATAAATTAGATCATATGCACGTATAGGTGTATATTATACTTTATAAATTAAATCAATACTTGTTTGTTGAAAATGTGATATGGTTATCACAATAATTTTAGACAATATCGTTCGTATATTAAAGCAGAAACATAAACGTGCATGTCTACATCTAATTTGTGTAAATGTATATGCATGTTATGTGTGTCGTGTTATCCTTTACAAAGCACATGGGTATTACATCTTTTTCTCTTATCTTTTAAGCAAGTCAAATTTCACATTAAAGAATAATAACTGGACTTCGACTAGTTGGCCACTAATCTCCAGTTCCCACCTATATTTTGACTTCTTAGATTATCTACTCATCAATAAACCATGCTTTGACTTATTAGATTGTTTATAATTATTGAAGCACCGGGACTTCATTAACTTATATATTTACAGAAAAAAAATAGAAACCTTGACACCAAAGGTACTTAATAAGTTAATAGTAACACAATCTCTATAATATTATTTGAGAAGTCAGTTTCCTACGTGTCGCGATCACGTTAACTCTCGTGATGGTTGATTATATATATAGATACCCTTAATGAATTGTTAGATTTTAAGATTATTATTTTTATTTAGTTTCTTTTTTACATTTTTCCAAATAACATATATAATAAAAGGAAATATTTCTAAAATTTTAAAACAAATTTAAAAACGAAAATATATGTGTATAGTATGACTTTATTAAAAAAAATTCACAAAATAGTAATACTCCCATTAATATATATTTTTAAATAACATAAAATATATTTTCAAAATAATAAAAATATATATGTTCATGAACATCCAAAAATTTATCAGTTACACTTTATTATCTAATATTTTTTAGAAATCAACATATAATTTGATAAATATTATAAAAATACATGCATATTTAAGCAATAAATAAAACTAATTTGATTTGACTTAACTAAAATAAAGAGTAAATAAATATTATGAAAATACATGTATATTTAAGCGATAAATAAAACTAATTTGATTTGACTTAATTAAAATAAAAAGTAATTATACTTCAATTTTAATTTAAAAATATATTAACTCTATATACTCACAAAATGAATGACTCGACTAATCTAATTTATATCCAAAATTAAACATTTAACCACAATAAGAACATATAATTTTATAAAAAAGTAATCTATTTAATTTTATACATATAAATTAGAGGTTGACTCAAAGCATATTAAAAAGAAAATATTAAATAATTACAATTTAGTTCTTTTTAGAATTTATATATATGCATGAGACTTCAAAATATTATCATTATATTCTTTTATGTAATTTTTAATCAAACAATTCAGCTTATTATTTATTTCATTTTAAGCACAAATATATATTAAGTTATACATAATTTAACTAAAATATATTTACATATCTAAGAATATGTTTACATATCTAAAGACAATAACCAACCCAAATGAAAATAAAAATTAATCAAAGTTTTATTATATTTAGAATAAGAAACATTATAGTTGAATTCGATAAATAGATATTATCCAATATACCAAATTGATAACCAAACCGACTATTATTTTACCGACAACAATATATCCAAAATCATATTTATAATTATAATAATATAATAAAAATTAATCAAAGTTTTATTATATTTAGAATAAGAAACATTATAGTTGAATTCGATAAATAGATATTGTCCAATATACCAAATTGATAACCAAACCGACTATTATTTTACCGACAATAATATATCCAAAGTCATATGTATAATTATAATAATATACTATTTATTAATATAAGTTATACATATAAATTGATTCAAAACTAAAACTAAGTATCATTCAATTATTATAAATTAATTTTATGAATATTCATATCCGTGCATGAGCACAGGAAAATCACCTAGTAACACTTAACCAGGGAAAAAGTTATCATAATGATTCTCTAATACGTATATAGATTCACATACACACACAACCACATATATAGGGATCATCATGGTGAACTGGTGCTAGTGAAGATAATATATTAAAAGTCCATGCTAGTGCTAAATGATAATAAGGGGATGTTAATTAATTATCTTTATGGGTAATTAATTTAATTAGCACCAAACGCTTGCAATAAGCACCAAGCTATTGTAATGGAAAACTAAAGTTGAGATGCTTTAAGGAAGGGCACACGCACCTATATTCACCAACATAACTTTTGAATTTCATAAATATTTCTACATTTGGCTGTAATTGACCGACTCATCCCATTTAAATTAAGACTAATCAATTAGTTTTTAAGTAAACTAGTTAGAAATGTGATTTAGTGGATCGACTTTAGTTATTGGTTCACGTGGGTTTCAAATTTATGTATATTTGCTAATGGACAATACTTGCCACTCCACTCTCCAAATCCACATCAATATAATAGTCCACTTGTTAATATGTTTTACCATGAAATTATATATGGCCATGAATTTGAAGATTTATATTTATTTCCGGTGCTCAAATACAAATTTTCACCTATGTTATATTCCTTTTTATTATCATAAGTGATTTGTTTTTTTTCAGTAATATAATCCTCAACCAGAAAATTTCACAAGACGAATTTGTTTCGAGTCCTCATCAATAAATAACCAGAGTGTATGTATATGGTTCAAAATCGCCTTAGTAATTCCAAAGAAATTGTTAATAGTCCTATACTTCTATTTATATGTCGAGTCTAATTTTGACTTGAGTATAGATGAGTTAGTTTCATAATCGGAATAAAATTTTTGTTTGTTTAAAAGTTATATTATTACTAGTTTGGAGCCAATAACAAGTGATTGAGGGCCAACTGTCTCATACTTCTCTCTAAAGGCCAGTCCATAAATAAGACTCTTCTTTCTATTAATCTTGCTTCTCAATCCACATTCTTTAATGAAATGTTCATTGTCGATAATGGGGCCAGCTAGTAGAATGCTACAAGGGCCTTTTGCTTATTTTTCTAAATAAAAAAGAAAAATATTGTCTGAGCCCGGGTTCGAACCGGGGACCTCTAGTGTGTGAGACTAGCGTGATAACCGACTACACCACCCAGACGTTGATGCTATCTAATCGGCATAAGAAAGTATAGTCTTAATAAAAATTGTATCTTTTAGTGTAACTAGGCTTGGGCGTTCGGTGGCCCAATAGGTTTCGGTTCGGTTGATTCGGATTTTCGGTACTGTGCTCATAAGTACCATTCGGTTTTTGTTAATAATCGGATCGGATTCGGTTCGGTTTGAATCGGATTATAACCAATGTCTGAAATCGTCCAAAAATATTTTTTTTAAACCTAGAAATTTGACAAAATAGTATTCAAAATATGTAAATTATTCACAAGTATAATTAAAAATTAGTTAAACTATCTAAATTAGCTAAGATATATTCAAAATGACATATAACATAGACTATGAAAATATTTATAATATTATAAACTATCTTCTTTTTTTTTTTGGTCAAATAATATTATAAACTATCTAAATTACCTTAACATATATAAAAATATTAACATATTTAACTAATTTCGGCTACATTCGGATCCTCCTTCGGATTTTAGTTCGGTTCGGGTTATACCCAAAGTCCGAAGTACTAGGCTCATAAGTCCCGTTCGGTTAGTTTTGTATAATGGTTTGGATCCGGGTTCGGTTTCTTCGGTTCGGGTTTAGGTCGATACTTCGGGTTGGGGTAAAAACGCCCAGGCCTAAGTGTAACATAACAAGAAACTGATAGTTATGAAAAGATGATCTCTTAATTGCTCTATTTTGTGTTGAAAACGTTTTCATTCGCTCAACGTATTACGTAAGCTGACAAGCTCTCGTTTTTGTGTTGGCCTTCAGACAAAAGCTCCAATTTTATCACAAGGAAAAAAATAGAAAAAAATATTAGTAATTTACAAGGACAAAGTTGACGTATTACAAAACTGTTACCAGTCGAGTTTAATATTCCTTTCAATGTAAAGTTTATCAATATATACTCTATAACAGGTCGTGACGCTTCCATGTACCTCCTAATATTCTTCTCAACAGATCGATCAGTTTCGTTAAGCCGTAACAAAAGCTGATCCCTCGTGGGAAGTGTCTACATTCCAGCATAAACTGCGGTCCTAACAGCCCATGTATGAAACGGTGCACATACTTCCGTGTAAGCTGTTGTCGCAGCTAGCGTCTTTCAAAGAATACTCATCCGTCATCAAGAACTGTTCAAAGATTGCTCTTATTAGGTCTTGATAACTTTGAGTGTATTAGAGCACTTGCATTCGTGGATCTAAAAAAAAAGCGCTTAGATTTCTGTTTTTTCGGTTTTCCAAATTTAAAAAAGAAAAAATTAAAAGTATCCAATCACGGGCCGCCACGTGTCGTGGGGCCCGCAGAATTGGCCAAGCACTCATGGAAATCAGGCGCTTATGTGAGCAACAAAAGCGTCGACTTTTGTTTTTATGTGGGTCTCCCCTCCCACTTTCTCCCCTAAGCGCTCTTTTTTCCCCTGCGTTGCACATGTTCTTATGAGCTTCCAACTTAAAACCAATTGGTGATAAGTGGATTGGCCCTAACCCTTTATATATTACTTAATTACTTCTTCAACTACCGATGTGAGATTTAGTTTCATTCTCTGTTCGGAAACGCGGCCGCCTAACCGCCTAGGCGGCCGCCTAGGCGCTCGACGTTCAAGACCCGCCACGATTTTACAAAATCGGCACAATTAATCGGAAAACCAATTAATCATTTAAAAAACCGATTAATCACCGATTAATCGGGTTTAAACCGATTTCTTCAGCAAAATATTGAACTTTATTGACAAGCGTTTGGACCATGGAAGAGGCCCAATTGTCGGAAGAGAATGGAAATTTTCTCTCTGTATTTATAGAGAACTCATGACTCCTCTTAGAGTAGAATTAGTCGATGTGGGAGAAATGCACTTTGTTTCTAAATTTTTTTTTTCTGACTCGCAGAGTTAAAAACACGATAAAAGATGCACCATAGAAGATTCGAACCCACCAACTACATGCCGCTACACATGACTCTCATTCCACTGGCCTACGTTGTTTCTTTGTCAACTTTCCACATGTTTTAATATATATACATATATTTATAATTAAAAAATAATAAACTAATCCCCGCGTATATCCCGATTAATCCCCAATTTTTCGACAACTCGCTAGGCCCGGGGTCACCGCCCGACTAGCGCCTAGCGTAATTTAGAACATTGGTTTCATTCATTAACACTCCCCCTCACGCTCATGCGTGGACAACTGTGGAAACAACATCCACAGAGTGGCCCAGCATCGGGTGACTCTGATACCATGTAAGTCAATGAGTTTCCCTTTAATAGTTACCAACATATATAGTACAAGGAGTTGAGTGATTCTAGAGATCATCACATATCTGAACAGAATATACTAGGAATAATAACTATGCTATACAAATGATAGTTAGTGAATGAAACTAAGTCTCACATCGGTAGTTGGAGAAGTAATTAAGTAATATATAAAGGGTTAGGGCCAATCCACTTATCACCAATTGGTTTTAAATTGGAAGCCCATAATACACCTAACACTAACATTGTGCGTTGTTTGTGGCTTTATAAGCATAAGTATGATGCAGAGGGGAACTTTACGGATCACAAATCTCGCTTGGTCGCCAATGGAAGATCTCAGGAACAGGGAGTTGACAAATCAAAACCCACTCATGTTTGCAAGTTGAATCGCTCCATCTACGGTTTATTACCTCCAAAGGATTCTCACAATGCAAATCAGATACAAGTCTATTCATATACAAGAAAAATGGACAAATGGCGTATCTAATCCTCTATGTCGATGACATCATTGTGACTGCCTCCACAACTTCACTACGCGACACGATCATCAATGTCCTGAAGTCTGAGTTTCCAATGAATGACGTGGGCACCATCAGTTCCTTTCTAGGCATATCCGTGAAGTTCAATAACAAAGGTATCTTCTTGAATCAATCCAAATACGACGAAGACATCATCAAACGCGCAGGCATGGCTGAGTACAAACCTTGCACAACTCCGGTGGATCTTAAGTCCAAGCTTGCAGACGATGATGGCTAGCCCCTCACAGACTCTACGGCGTATCGAAGCTTGGTAGGGGCATTGCAGTATCTGACCTTCACCCGACCTGACATCACTTACGCGGCCAACAGCTTTGCTTGTTTATGCACGATCCTCGCGAGCCTCATCTTGTTGCCTTGCGCCGTGTCATCCGTTATCTCCAAGGCACCAAACAAATGGGCCTGCAACTTCTCAAGAAACAGAACATGAAGCTCATTGCGTACACCGACGCTGACTGAGTGGGGTGTCCCTCTACATGCCGATCGACTTCAGGGTTCTGTCTTTACCTTGGTGACAATCTCATCTCATGGTCCGCCAAACGACAGCCCACCGTATCACGCTCTAGTGCCGAAGCTGAGTACAAAGGAGTGGCGAATGTTGTTGCTGAGTTGTGTTGGCTTCGTAACTTACTTCTCGAAATGGGAAGACCTTTGCAGCACTCAATCGTCGTCTACTGTGACAACGTTAGCACTGTTTATCCCTCGTGCAACCCTGTTCAACATCAACGAACAAAATACATAGAGATTGACATCCATTTTGTTCGAGAGAAAGTGCTAATGGGTCAAGTTAGAGTTCATCACATTCCATCCAGCCTTCAGTATGCAGACATCTTCACCAAAGGCTTACCTTCTTTTCTCTTATGTGGCTTCCGGTCCAGTCTTGGTGTGACAGAGCTCACGCTGCAACTGCGAAGGGTATTAGCGGATAACTATCATTTATATAGCATAGATATTATTCTTAGTATATTATGTTCAGATATGTGATGATCCCTAGAATCACTCAACTCCTTGTACTAGATATGTTGATATCAATACACGTAACTATTCAAGGGAAACTCATTGACTTACAGGTCTAAACCTTGTCTCACACGTCTTAGGTTACGTGAACGGCTTCCTGGTGTTTTCACTGTTTCATTCTCCACGTCTAGGTCCAAAATGTTTTGTAATGTGTTTAATGTTTTCGAGGCTTCGACCAAGTCTTTAACCTTGGAGGTGTACTCCATCTCCGCAAATTTGGAGGCAAAGCCGAGGCAACTGAAGAGGATAGAGACGTGAGTGCATGCACTGCAGAAAGCATCAAGACTCAAACCGTTCTCATCTTGAGTTGATATGTCCGATTTAAGCAGATCCGCTAGGTTTTCGAACGCTTCAGTGATTACAGACAAAGGTTTGTTGACTCTGGCTGGTGTCTTGGTGCATACGGCATCCTCGAACGTGTCGTCTTCATCCTCCTCTTCTTCTTTCTCTCTTTCTCTTCCTTTCTATATAGCTTCGCCACGATTGCTGAACTTTAGAAAACTTGATACTGATCGTGATGGTTCAGTTACGAGGTAATGAAAAGACGTAGTAATGGTGTCTACGGTTATGTTTTGAAACGTGACGCTTTGCAAGACTTAAGGGTTCGCCGATCAATCAAGGTGATAAACGTTTTTTAATAATGCAAAAACTTTACTATATAAAGAAGAATGGCTAAAACTTCTTGCAAGCTATTTTGGTGATAGAAAGATTGATATAATATTACGTGAAAGCTTGTGTTTATTGATGTCATACGAAGAGTATATATACAAAGTCAGAAGTTCCTATTCTAACTAGATAAAGGTTACATATATCAAATCCCATTATAATAGGGAACTCATATTATTAACATGTTTATCCCTTTACTCCCCCTCAAGTTGGCAATGAGATCTGTCGAATGCCTAACTTGAACAGCAAGTACTGGAAGGTTGGTGTAGGAAGAGCTTTAGTTAGAATGTCCGCTGGTTGTTCCTTGGTAGAGATATGCCGTAATGTGAGCATCTTCGCCTTCACTGCATCTCGTGTAGTATGACAATCATTTTCGACGTGTTTAGTACGTTCATGGAAGACCGGATTGGTTGCAATATGAATGGCAGATTTGCTGTCACAGTGAAGTGAGATCGGTTGTGGATGACTGAAACCAAGCATGACAATAAGACGTTTAAGCCACTTTAGTTCACACGTTGTGTCCGCCATCGCCCTGTATTCTGATTCAGCTGAAGAACGCGAGACAGTACGTTGCTTGATCGTACGCCAAGAAACCAGGGAGTCTCCGAGAAAGATAACATAAGCGCTAAGAGAGCGTCTAGTAGTAGGACATGCCGACCAATCGGCATCACAGTAAGCAGTAATCTGCATATTACACGCAGCTTTCAACATTATCCCCTGATCCGGTGTTCCCTTCAAATAGCGAACCACACGAAGTGCTGCAAGCCAGTGATCCTCAAGAGGCTTCTGCATAAACTGAGATAGAATATGGATGATGTAGTTCAAATCAGGGCGAGTGAATGTAAGATAGATAAGCCTTCCAATGAGTCTTCGATATTTATGAGGATCGGCAAGGAGGAGATGAGAGTTTGTAGGACCAGCCGGAACAAGCTTGGTGTTGAGTTCAGTCGGCGTTGAAGATGGTTTAGCACCTAATAACCCACACTCGGCGATAATATCCAAAGCATACTTTCGCTGAGACACAAATATACCTTCAGGACCACGAGCAACTTCCAAGCCAAGAAAGTATTTAAGTTTGCCGAGATCCTTCATCTTGAAGCATTTATGAAGATAGTTCTTGAACCGTTGAATGATAGAGATGTCATTACCAGCAATAATAAAATCATCAACATAGACCAAAATGTGAAGACAAATATTCTTGCCATGATTCACATACGAGAAAAGGGAGTAGTCTTCATGGCTCTGCTCAAAACCGAAAGCTAGAAGAGCTGTGCTAAGCTTTGCAAACCAACATCGTGGAGCTTGTTTAAGTCCATATAAAGATTTGCGTAGACGACATACCTGATTAGGTTTGTCAGTTTTGAATCCAGGAGGCAACTGCATATATATTTCTTCTTCTAACTCTCCATGTAGAAAAGCATTATGAACGTCCATTTGATGAACCTCCCAACGTTGAGCCGCTGAGACTGCAAGTAGAAATCGAACTGTATTCATTTTAGCCACCGGTGCGAATGTATCTTTATAATCACGACCTTCTTTTTGTCTATTGCCAAGAGCGACAAGACGAGCTTTCGGACGTTCAATGGTCCCATCTGCCTTATATTTATTCGAGTAAATCCATTGACAACCGATGGTTTTCTTTCCTGGTGGCAATGTGGTCACATCCCACGTATGTTGTTCCTCCAATGCCATAATCTCTGTTTTCATTGCTTTATTGAAGCGATCATCCCGAACTGCTTCTTTGTAGCTTTTAGGAACAAAATCCGTTGTAATTTTGACAAGAAAAGCCTGATGTGTCTGAGTAAAAACAGAGGTTTTTAGATAATTAGCAATAGGATACGGTGTTTTACCTGGAACCGTCGTCGAAGGAGCCTGATCGGAGAGTGTATGAGCGAGAGAGGGGGTTGTAGTCGTAGCAGTATGTGTAACGAAGTTCTTGAGTAGAATAGATGGAGTCTTCGTTCTGTGTCCACGCCCAAGAACCTCAAGTAAACCAGGAGAAGCAGGCTCAATACGCGATTCAGCAGGTACCGATGAAGTAGGAGACTTATTCGATAATGGAGATGATGGTGTTTCAGTCGATGTAGAAGGCGCTGTTGACGGAGCAGAAGAATCAATAGGTGTGGGTGTAGGAGACGATGTAGCATCGCGAGAGGAAGGGAGCACAGGTGCAGAAGAATCAGTAGTAGGTAAAGAAGTCTTTGTAGTTGCAGAGGCATCCGGTGAAGGTGAAGGATCACCAGATGAGCCAGCGTCCCGTGTAGAAGGAAGGCTCGAGGATGGCATGACTTCAGAGGAATCGATGCTCCCCCTGGAAGGAGACACCGACACAAGCCAGTCATCACACGGAGTATCCACCTGCAATGTTGGAGGTGAAACATATGAAGTATCTTTGATCCCTGGAAACTGATCTTCCAAGAAAGTAACATCCCGACTTATGAAAAATTCATTGCGGTCGAGGTCATATAGGCGCCAGCCCTTGGTGCCAAAGGGATAACCTACAAATATGCATTGCCGGCTTCGTTCTGCAAATTTGTCTTTCCTTCTTGGTCGATAATGAGCGTAACACAAACACCCAAAAACTCGCAATAGGTCATAGGCCGGTGGTGTGCCATGGAGTAGTTCGTAGGGTGTTTTCCCGTCAAGAAGTTGAGAAGGTGTGCGGTTGATAATGTGCGCTGCAGTCAGAATGCTTTCTCCCCAAAACTCAACCGGTAAACGTCCTTGAAACAAGCAAGCTCGGGCAATATTCAGTATATGCCGATGTTTTCTTTCAACACGGCCATTCTGCTGAGGCGTATCCACACAAGAAGTTTGATGTAGAATCCCATGTTCTTGAAAAAATTGTTTGAGCACGAGAAACTCAGTACCATTGTCAGAGCGAATCATTTTAACAGTATGACCAAATTGTTTCTCTGTCATGGCACAAAAACACTGAAGTAGACGAGAGACTTCGGATTTTTCGAGCATTAAGTATGTCCATACTGCTCTGGAGAAATCATCGACAATTGTTAAGAAATAGCGTGCCCCCGAAGAAGAAGGTATTCGGTAAGGTCCCCACACATCACAATGTATAAGAGAAAATGGTGCATCAGCTTTCTTAAAACTATCAGGAAATGTTTTGCGCGTTTGTTTAGCACGAAAGCAAATGTCACATTGACTGAAAATACTAGAATCTATCTTAGTAGTAGTAAAAATCGGTAGAGTAGATAAGACTTGCGAAGATGGGTGTCCAAGACGACGATGCCACAGTACCGTTGAAGAAGACTTCGACGTTGATGCTGCATTAACCCGTACGACTTTGATCCCAGTAAAGTAATAAACCCCCTCTCGCTCTTCACCTGCTCCAATCAGAGTCCTCGAAAAACGGTCCTGCAAAACACACAATGTATCAGTGAAAATTGCAATGCAGCCGGTTTGTTTCAATAGTTGAGAAACCGAGATAAGTGTGCAGTGAAAATCTGGCACAAATAAGACATCATGTAATGAGTAATCCTTGCTTAAGCGCAAGGTGCCATGCTTCGTAGCCTGTGAGTGATGACCATTCGGGAATGTCACCGAGGCTGGTGATATGTCTGAGACATCATGTAGAAGGGAGATATCACCCGTCATGTGATGAGATGCTCCTGTATCAATAATTACATCAGTAAGATTGGTTTTACCCGACAACCGTTCCGAGGATAGATTGGTTTGCTGGTTCTGAAGAAGAGTAATGAGTGAAGCAATCTGATCATTGTTAAGAGAAGCCGTGGCATTAGATGCACGACCGCGACCACGTCCGCGAGAGCCATTAAAACGACCTCCTCTGCCTCCTCGAGAATTTGATATTGATTGTCCGGCGTTGTTGGAGCGTTGATATTGTTCCTGATACCATTCAGGAAAACCATGCAGTAGAAAACACTCTGACATCTCATGTCCTTTGCGCCCACAATGCGTACATGACCGCATAGGATCACGAGAACGATAGGTTGTAGTATCCAAAGTAGAAGTAGAAACACCTTTGTTCGGCTCTGTTTTGGCAGAGAAACCCAGAACATCGGTTCGTTGCTCAGTTGCTTTTGTAGAAATCATATTTTGCTCCTCACGAATCACACGAGAGTAAACAATATTGATGTCGGGCAGTGGTTCTTCATCTGTAATGCGAGATCGAATAGAAGAGAACCGTGCATCATCAAGACCAAATAAGAATTTATGAACACGCGCATCTTCTCTTTCTTTTTCAATGTCGGCAGCCGCGTCACATGTACACGAACGAGATGTCTTGAGATTCTGAAGCTCTTCCCATAACTTCGTAAGGCGTCCATAATATTCAAGAACAGATTGTCCATCTTGCTTGCAGTTGGTGATTGCATCTTGTAGCTGATGTATTCTTGTTCCGTTTTTAACGGAGAAGCGGAAGCGGAGAGTTTCCCAAAGTTTATGAGCTTCGGGAACAAACGTGACTGTCGAACGCATCTTGGCATCGATAGATGTTCTGATCCATCCAACAATCATGGCGTTTGAAGCTAGCCATCGAGAGAGATCGGGTTCAGAGTCGGGTTTAGGTATAGTCCCGTCAATGAATCCAATCTTTCGTTTTGCTTGAAGAGAATTTCGAAGTTCTGTCGACCACTCCGAATAATTATCGCTGTTAAGTAGAACAGGAGATATAAGAGCCCCTGGATTATCCGAAGGGTGAAGGTAGTAAGGTGACGCAGTATCAATGGATGATATTGTCGCCGTAGTAGTAGTAGTAGGAGGATTGATTGACGATGAGGTATCGTCAGCCATCGAACTAGTTATAGAAGTACACAAGAAAAGAAAATTAGGTCAGAGTTTGAAAAATAAGATCTAAGCTCTGATACCATATAATATTACGTGAAAGCTTGTGTTTATTGATGTCATACGAAGAGTATATATACAAAGTCAGAAGTTCCTATTCTAACTAGATAAAGGTTACATATATCAAATCCCATTATAATAGGGAACTCATATTATTAACATGTTTATCCCTTTAATTGATATAAAGTTTTCATTATCTACGTAAAAATTTTACAAAGTAGCATTTAAAATGTTATATCTTGTCAACGTTAATATATGTATTTC